CCCCAAACCCTACACCCTAAACTGTGTTTGGCCGGCATCAATGTTGGGAAGTGGGCTTCCTGCAAAGCCTTAGATTCGTGGATGCCGTTGCTTCACCGAGAACCCAACCTTAGCAGCCACGAATCCTAAACTCCACACCCTAAACTGGGTTGCTGTTAAGGAACTTAAGTTAAGTTACCATAATGGGTATATATCGTAAATAAGAGGGTTTCCCCAATATAGTAACTTAATTTAAGTTCCTTAACAGCAACCCAGTAAAGCCTAGACCCAACCAAGGTGTGGCTCGGCAAGAAGTCGCCGTTTTACGCCACCGCCGATGAAGGAGTACCTGCATCAGGTTCGTTTAGGGTCTAGGTTTCAGGGTTTAAGGTTTAGGGTTTAGGGTCTGGGATTGAGGGTTTAGGATGTAGTTTCAGAGTATCTGCAGAAGGTTCCTGCTGTACCAAAAGCTTTACTGCTTTTTAGTAGGAAATGAGGGACTATAATCCGTATAGAACCCTTGTAAAACATGTTCCCACATTCCCTACTAACCTCCAGTAAGAAAAGTCAGAACTGAGATGACCCCAGTCCAGAAAGGAATGTACTATATACATAGTTTGTTTAAGGTTTCGGGTGTAGGGTAATTTATTAAAATGAAGCTTGTAAGTATAGGATAGTATAGGATAACCCTATAGTAGGGTCATAGCCACATCCGGGTTCTTGAAAGCCTACAAACAAGTGCCCGTGACCCATCAAGTGGTTCCCCTAAACGCTAAACCCTAAACGCGTCAGGGGGCACCAGATCCTTCACGATCTTCAATGAGAGCGGGGAGGCAGGGCAGATCTGCCTCTATAGTTTAGGGTTTATAGGGTTACGCGCACTAAAAAAAGCCGCCCAAACGGTCCACGTAGGGACGTTGTATCTGGCTCTCATATAACTACTTTGGGGCTCAGGTATACACCATCCAGCTACTTGTGCGCATTTGGGGAAAACGCATATACAAGTCCCAAGGACCCACAAAGGGGCATCCAATGACAACCGGGTGTAGTTCACGCGGGGTTTCCCCGAATGGGTCTTATAAGCCTAAATCCGAGGCCGCTCCCAGATTCGGAGGAGACCCCGCAGTTGGTCCAGTTATAACGGAGCACATGAGGGGTGCTTTGTTGGGGGGAATACTTTTTTGTTTTTTAATAAGGTTCAACCACACACACGAGTTACAGTACGTGGAACCATCGCAACTTTCCTGAACAAGTGTCACCACCGGCCACGAAGAACAGCCCCCATAACAGAGACGCGCACAAAAAAGGGCCCATCGACGCAAAGAACGTGCATGTGTGTGTGAATCTCTGGGATGCGGTGATTTTGCTTGCTGTTTTAAGATGCTTTCGTTCCTTTCGGTGCTGCCATGTCATGATCTGGATAGTGCGTCTGTACATGCACATGTTCTTGCCAACAGCGCGTTGCATGCCACCTGATCGGCATGCCACCTGATCGTTTCACAACATCGCATTATGCAGTAGTGGCTCAAGCCTTCGGACCCCGCAATTCCGAACTCCCACGTAGGGGGCCGCCCCAAGCCGACACTGATCCTTGTGATCATGGCGTCCTTGCGTGGGCATAGCGTGACATGTAGTAGGCCCTCTCGCCACAAGAGACAGCCCCACACAATGAGAAAGCCTCCAGACCCAAAGGGTGACTGAAGGTTTTTGTTCCAAAAGAACCCCCCTGAACCCTCACCCCAAAGCCGGTTGGGATCCTTTATGACTGGAATCCTCAGCCTTCAGGGGATGGCCTTCAATTCAACCTCCAACCCTGAAGATCTGAAAGGTGGCCTTCACCTCCGGCAACTTGCTGGACCAACTTTCTGCGCGGCTGGGGCACTACCCGGATGCACTCTCCGAAGAACGAGGCAGCCAAAGCAGGGTCTGTATCGGGGTCCCCTTACTTAGGGAAACTACCATTTGTAGTTATCTGGGTTTTAGGGGTTAATAGGGTATTTAGGATTTAGGGGTTAATAGGGTATTTAGGATTTAGGGGTAATAGGGTATTTAGGATTCAGGGTTTAGGGTCCATGACATTCGCATCCGTATGATAGTACCGTGTTTGCTGGGAGGTGCGTCTGCCCGTTGAAAGAGAGATCTTTCCTCAAGTCGGTCTATTAGCATTGGCAGGAAGACCGGAGCTCCTCCTGCTCTGACTACAGCCCGAGCAGCAAATAAGGTAACACATAGGACAGTACCAGTACCCTGAAAGTAGTGAGAAGATTTGTGGTACGTTTTTAACGTTGGTAGCGCTCCAAGGAGCGTGTAATCATTTTTTCCAGTTAGCAGTTGCTTGATGTCCAAATCTAGGAGGGGCCACCACTGTCTACCAGTGCTGCTCCTCATTCTGTTGCTACCACCCGTTGCTGCCACCACAACAAGGGCTACACATAGTAAAGGAGGACGAACTAAACAAAACAAATATCCCAAAGCCTCCGCTGCGGATGTGGCAGAGCGAAGGAGGAAGAAGAGTGAGTCAATACGAGGAGGAGATGCAGCGGCAGCAGCAGCAGTCATCATCACTTTCCTCATCCACCTCCTCCTCCTCCTCCTCCTCTAACCCTGCTGCTCCTGCTGGACTGCTCCTGCTAGCCTTTGCAGCTGCCGTTGCGCGTGCCGCTGCTCTTCTTAACACACCGACAGTGCTATTTACAATACAGCTGCTGCTGCCGCAGCCAAGACTGCTAGGCCCACGGCCACCACTGCCACTGCCACTGCCACCGCCACTTTTAAACCACAGCTGCACAATCGTCAGCACCACCTTGCCGCTGACATCGCCGCTACTACTGTCACAACCTTCGCCGCAAGCAGCACGAGCGCCAGCACCAGCACCACATGATCATGCTGGCACTTAATACACTTGCAAAGTTCAAAGTTTGGGTTCGCGACTTCCCAGTGTCTCCTGACCAGGTGTTGCTGTAAGGGTTGAGGACTCCTGGCGAGCGGCATTCCAGGTTTTGAGGTAACATCGGCCAGCTTCGCAGTTACTTTGAGACAATCAGGGTACTTATACGCAAGGCTCCCGATACGCAGGCTGCGAGGCAGCTGCTCCTGCGGGTATGGGGCATGTCCGGAAATCTGATAAAATTACTGTATTTGCAACCGGACTAAATGCCTGCGGCAAGCGGTACGCTCTTGGGACTACAGGCACATCCTCAGCGGACAAAAAAGATAGCCCGCACCCTTGCCTCTCTAAACCTACCCGCCGGGAGGCAGTGAACCGGAGAACGTGGATTATGGAGTGTTCCGCAACTGCGAAGCTTGAATTCACAGGCTTTCTGGTTCTATTTGTGTTCCGGTTTAGGGCAGTGTCAGTATTGTTATGACTATTTCGGCTATGAGCTGAACATCTGTAAGAGATGCCCCTATAAGTGTAGTTGATGTCACAAGGAGGTCGAGGCCCAACGCGAAGATGCAAATACGGGGATTCGTTTTTATTGCAGGTACCGTTTGGGGGTCTCCATGATAAGGATATATAATTTGGAGGTCTATACTGGGGTCCTTGTATTTAGGGAAACTACCCGACGTGGTGAGCAAAAGCAACGAGAGCCAGCAGGCTCGCGAAGCGTTGGGCCCTCGGGTTTTGGGTTTTGGGTTTTGGGTCAGCAACAGCCCGCTAGCGCCATAGAATCCGGGTGTCAAGGACAAGGATTTCCATGCGCGTACTCCGCAGGGTGCGAGGACTTCTTGTGAAGCAGCATTATTCTGAGAGTCTTTTTCAAAGTCCTTGACACTATTTTAATGAGCAACAGACGGCGAGAGCGTAGCCTAGCAGCCCTGACAAACAAGCTTTGCAGTGTGGTGTCCAGGAAACATGCTATCAATATGTGGTACAATTCAGTTACGGTCAGTCTGCCTGAGGATGTACACACAGATGGCTTTAAGCATTTGGAACTCTTAAGGTGTAAACACATTGGGCTTAGGGTTTAGGGTTTAGGGGCTTCTTAAAGCCTGAACCCAGAAACCTCAACCCTAAACTCTTGGAATCCCCCCAAACCGGAAACCATTTGGGCTTATTGTCCTGTTGCCTGCCCGAGCAGCCGCGCAACACAGCAAAAACAAGACAGTCTTGTCAAACTCAGACAAACTTAGAAAACGAGAAACGTGATAGTGGATACAAAGATCCTGCATGACCCCAAGTACCTTAAACCTTGGGAGTTATCGTACTATTGTACAGCAAGCTCATGCAGTGCTTTACTATCAACAGGATATAGGGACCCCACACGGGTCATCATGGGACATTATACAGGGACTAGTAGAGGGATCAGTTCCTTCATTCTCAACTAAGCAAAAGCAAAGCCGTCTTCTTCCTCATTGGGCTCTCACTAGCACATCCTTGTAAGCTTTAACGCGTTCCTTCCCCCAGCAAACAAGTATCAGCCTCCGGAAAGGACAGCAGTCTATAAAACCACCCCCTTTCAGGTGCCATGTTACTCTGGGATATCCTTTTCCCTATACCAAGCTGGATGATTTTATTCAGCTTGGCACATCCCTCTACATCGATCCATGTTCGTCTCCCAATGAAAGTCTATGCACATGCTTATCAACACGTGACCTCCAGCGCTGTCCTGACACAGTGCCCGAAGACTCACCCTAATCGCAAACCCTGCAAACTCGCAGATGCCTTAAGGTCCACTCTTAACTTTGAATCCTACACAGTTCTGGTGCATGTCCTCTACAACCATCATTCTAAACCCCAAATCCTTAACCTTGAGCCCCAGACCGTTAAACCGTTAAACCCCGCATAAGCCCAGGAGATGTTGTTTGTGCAGACCGAGGGCTCAAGTCTTAGCTTTGTCTTTGAAGTCTCGGATCCAGCAACCGGACATGATAGAGGTTGGTTTTTGGGATCTTATGGAATATACCCGAATATAACCCCAATATTACCCCAATATTACCCCAATATAGCCCTAATGTAACCTAATTTAGCCCTAATGTAACCCCAATATAGCCCCAATGATATCTCCCCTTACTCCCCCAAATAGACCCCACATTGGGCCTATAAGTTGGGCATAATTATTTAGGGGCTATTTAAACCTGATCTGGGGGAGGGGGAGTAAGGGGGCGTGTAGTACAGGAGCCCATGTTTTCGGGTTTTGGGTTTGGCATTTATAATCTGAGGCGCGTGGTGTAGCCCTAAGATGGGTCAAGCTATTAAGTGATTTCGGGTTTAGGGTTTACTGTTCCTTTGTTCGGTATCTAATGGCGCAAAGGTTCCAAGTACCTACCTAGCACTGGAAATGAAGCCCCAACGGGATTCCTAATTGTTTCTATATACTGTGCAAGTATCCTTCAGATGATGCATCGAATGCTTGGGCTTCTGGGTTTGCCGCAGCTGCGTGAATCATAAAAGGTCTTGCAGCATCCTGAGTCCACATCCGCATCCCTAGATCGTGATATGAGCCATAGTCTAAACTCCTTAAAGGGGATTCTATAGGGGATTATATAGGCGACTACTATAGGGTTATTAAGGGGGATACTAGGAGTTTAGACTATAGCTCATATTAGGGTTTAGGATTTAGGGTTCAGGGTCAGTTTGCGCCCTGAGTCAGAAACCGTTCCCAAGTCCCCGAGTACTCAAAGCTCTGAATTCCCTGTCCCTAAGAGCCCTGAACCCTAAACCCTGGACTCTGGCAAATCGAAAGCTACAGTATTCCCAGGCCCTATATACAGCTCCAAGCCCTAAACCCGAAAACCCTAAAACTTTAAAACCCTAAGAGCCCCAAGACCCCTTAAAGCCCTAAGAACCCTAAAGCCCCTAAACCCTTAAACCCTAAAGCTGCAACCATCCTGAAGCCAAGGCAAATCCAAGCTACCTCCAGGCCCTCCCTGCCATCAAGTCTCCCCAGCGAGGCATCACCATTCCGCGCAGGAACCTGGTAGAAGGGGTGGGTTCCTCAAGGTGTAAAGTTTATAGGGTTCACAGGGTTTATAGGGCTTAATAGGGTTTGTAGGAATTATAGGGTTTATCGGGTTTTCTACGGTTGAGGCTCAGGGGTTGGAGGACGAAGGAGTTTTGGGATTTAAAGGTTTAGGAGTTCTAGGAGTTCCTTCTGTTTTAGAGATTTCGGCGATTCTTCTTGGGTACTGGATTCTTGAGGATTCAGGGTGTAGGACTCGATAAGCCCTGAAAGGGGGTGTCATCAGGGTGTGGAGGAGCTCAGGAGTAGTGCGGTAGGTGGTCTTTGCTAAGTCGTTTACCAGACTATGTCCTTAGATTAATTGGCTACAGTTTTTGGGTTCTGCTATAGCTCTTTAGCTGCCTGTTGTGTAGGGTTTAGGGTGCTTTGTGTGTTTCGCCTTTGTTTCTGTACCATACCCCTTTTTGAGGAGTCCTTTCTACACAACTTCTTTCTTTGTTAACTGTTAACTTTATGATCCTAAGCTCCACTGTAGCACCCTTAAACCTCAAACCTTGACCTTCAAAACCCCTAAAGCCATAAACTAAAACCCTAAAGCCCTAAAACTCTAAATCCCAAACAGTAAACAGTAGTTTCCATCTTATTTTCCACTGTCCCTATATAACCCCTACAGAACCCCTGAGAAGTCCAGAGAAAAGGAGCCTATATGTCACAGCTTCGGAGCCTGATCTGCGCTGTACGGTTTCCGAAAGAGTGTAGGGGTTTAGGGTTGAGGATTGTTCTTTTCATCATGGGCACCTTTTGGGTATAGATTATATTACGGCACCTCATTTTTAGGGGTACCAAAATGGGACCCTAATTTTGGGAACTACCCTACCCATGTGTTTTCGAGGGTTAAAAGGGATCTAGAGGTATTATATTGGGATATATATATATAAATACCCCAGGGCTCCTGTGTAGTTCCTTTTTCGTCATAGTTTTGTGGAACAGGATCAGAACATTTTACCCCAAAAGCAACTATGCCGCGTACTGGCTAGGCCTTAGGGTTCATGCAGCTGGTTTGGGATTTCCTTTTTGCAATAGTAACAGAGAGCATGCTTCTTCAATCCTACCTCACCGATCTCACGGACGACCTAGGACGGGTCGGACATCCCAAATGACATCCGGTCCGGCATCAACATCTATGAGTGCCAGTACGAAGAGTATCCGACCTTGGAGTCCAACGACACTGATACTCGGCTTTTCGCGCGAGCTGTATTTTTGCTTGTTTGGCTTATTGTTACATTTTGCTCCATTCCGTTTTACCAGCACCTTCCTTGTAATCCAGCCCAAATCCCGTCTTAGGAGATTCTAGGGCTTGAAGTCTACTGACGTGGCAAACTGTGGGGACCTAAGTCCTCAAGCATTTGGATCGGTTGGACACGAGAGCTCCCCCAAAACTGTTACTAAGTATCCCTGCTTCCCAAACATACGCTCGGCACCCTGGAGGGCTACACTATATTATGGGGGACTACATATTGCGGTCCCCGAGATTACCATTAATGAGCACACAGAGCGCACATAAACAGAGATTTTGAAGCCTTAGGGGCACGCCTTCATTATAGGGACCCCCAAAAGGTACCCCTACCCTTGGGTATAATTCCAGTTCCCATTCACGTTTCCGTTGTCTTTCCATTTGATTCTCCAAGGTAATGTCACTACCGTACCTAGGCCTACCTGAACCCCCGAAAGTATGTAGAATAATAGCCTTTTCGGATATTTCCTGGGGATGTGGGCCATTAATTTACGTACCTTTGGGGTCCAGGTAGTACTATGGGCGTCACACAGTTTGTGGGTCTTTCTTGCAAACCCGGAACGCTAGAATCCTCAGTCGTGAAGAAATTCTCGGCTCTTGCGGACCCCAAAAATTACGATGCCCCAGCGGTTTAGGGTTTAGGGTTTTAGGGTTTAGGGTTTAGGGCTATATTGGAGTAATGAAGAATCAAATGAAAAATGACATGGACACTACTATAATGGGTTACTTAGGGATTATGGGGACTATTAGGGTTTAGGCTTTAGGTGGCGCCATGGGACGAGGGTTTATGAATCGTTTGTTTTAGGAGAGCGGTCCCCTTGTCGAAAATCCACAAGCTAAGCCCAAAACGCCTCACTTCTGAGGTTATGGAGTGGGGAGATCATGGGTTCCCCTACCGCCCCCTCTCGTAGAACCCTTGGGGGTAGACAACTTGTACCCTAAAACTTACCCCCTAAACCGCTATCTTCATCCTGGAGCCTAAGATCCTGATGCCTCCAAACCGTAAACCCAAGTTACAGCAGTCAACGTCGTGGAAGGGCCGCCTTAAGCTGTCATTGAAACTGCTAACCGTTCAACCTAAACCCAGGTTCATGCACTCCCAGACCCCCAAAAGGATCTAAAAATTAGATCCCCTAGAACCATAGAAAAAGCTGTATAAGGATGATATAGGGGTTATAATGGGTCTATATCGGGGATCTGATTTTTGAATCCTCCCAGAGGTCTGGGCTCTTCAACCTAGATCCCTTATAGCACACCTTATAACAAGCAGTGAACACCACCTTCCAAAGGAGAATGGCATTTTCCAACCCTAAAGCCTAAACCCTAAATCCTAAACCCTATAAGTCCTAAGCCCTAAAGCCCTTCCAAAGGACCAATGCCCTAAACCCTATAAGTCCTAAACCATATAAGTCCGAAACCCTATAGATCCTAAACTCTATAAGTCCTAAGCCCTATAAAACCTAAACCCTATAAGTCCTAAGCCCTATAAATCCCCAACCCTATAAGTCCTAAGCCCTATCAATCCTAAACCCTATAAGTCCTAAGCCCTATAAATCCTAAGCCCTATAAATCCTAAACTCTGTAAACCCTAAACCCTTTAAATCCTAAACTCTATAAATCCTAAACCCTAAAAAAATCCTAAACCCTAAACCTTTTCCAAAGGAGGATGGCCTTCCCATCCCATGGGGCTCCATCGCCGGCCTCACTGGAGAGATGGAGACGAACGGCCAGCTCTGGGCTGTGGAGGGCAAGTTCCTTGGTTTAGGGGTTTACGGGTTCTCGGGTTTAGGGATCTAGGGTTTAGGGATTTAGGGGTCAGGGATTTAGGGTCTAGGGTTCGGGTTTAGGATTCAGGGCTTAGAGGATCACATGAGCTACCGAGAATGCTAGCAAATGGAAAGAGCATGGAAATAGAAATGGAAACTGGGCTATTGAGCTACTGACAATGTTAGGGTGACGAAGGGAAATTGGGGTGACGGCAAAGAAATGGAAGCTACAATATAATGGAGAATCAAAAACACAGGAAAGTGGGGTGATATACGGGTTTATAGGGATACTATAATTGGGGGGAATCGCGGAATGAATCCCGATAGAAGCGCCTGTATCCCCCATAACAGCGGCATCCAACTTCTTCTCAATTTCTGCATTCTGAACTAACTAACAACTAGCAAGTTTAGTGTTTAGAGAGGGGGAGGGCGTTGTAGTTAGGTTGTCCAAGGTCTGTTGTGTTGAATGGGCTCCCTTGACGGTAGAAAGTTGTAAGTCTAGGCTCAAGGGTTGAGAGCCCAAGATTTTGGGGCGTGTAGATTTCTTGGGGCTTGCAGTAAGTCAGGTTTGTATATATGTCCTCATGCATAAGCAGTTTGACAAGCAGCGTTTTGTTGTTGCTTTGTCTGGCTTGTAGCAGAGCCCTGGACCATTTTCAGCCATAACTGTGTAGCTGTGTTGTGTCAGAATTGGATCCCGTGTCTCTCTGGAGGCTCATATGCTGTCTCATTTCTAGGAAACAAGTTCTATCACTACAAGTGAAATCCAGCTCCACCAGGTTGGTACAGGGTATAAGCCTCCAGACGAGTAGTAAGCCTTTGTGTGCAGCAGTACTTCATCCTAGCAACCCTAATCTTGTTCTGCACTCTTACCCTCCGCCTGACTCACAGACATGGAACCCCACATGGCCTCTTTTTCAAGGGAGAGTAGTGATTGCGGTTTACAGAGTCCCTTTTCAGTTTCCGTGCTGTTTTTCTTTGTGTAAGCCCTATACCCTGAACTCTTAACCCCATACCTATACCATACCTATTCACCTTTCTCGGAACTGGCAGCCTTCCAGCCCAGGTTCTTCGCACATCCGCAGATTCTTCGCATCGTAACCGACGCTCCGCTTCGCGAGGGCGAGTGTGCGGGCGAGTGGCCGGGCCCCCCGCTAATCGTAGAGAACATCAGCATTACCAACGATCAGGGCGAATTTGCCGAAGGTTTGGACCTTGTGGGGATTGACCTCATCCCCGCTGGTAACATCCTCACCGATGGCGGCGTCTGGATCATGGCTAATAGCGGAGTTGTTGGTTTTTGGAAGGATAGTGGATTCCTCTTAAAATGAAGCAGACCGCAAGATGCCTTCTGACACCGCAAAAGTTGCAACGATCCAGTCCAGGTTTTATGCTTGCAGACAGGGGGGAACCAGCGGCTACACCAGATCCAGCAGTTCCAGGCCGCATCTTGTTTGTTGATGCGAAGCCCTGTTCTGATTCAGAAATGGTTTTGGATGTTTGGGATTCCAGTTCAGGCCCTTGGCCAAACAGTTTCGATTTACCCTTCATAGACCTGATGTTTTGTGGAGACCAGTTCTGCAACCAACTTGCTTAGCACATGTTTCCCTACATCATCCGCAACCCTACAAGCCCAACAAGCCCATTTGTATTCCAAAGAGCTGCGAAACGGCCCAAGGAATGGCGTTATCCAGAACGAGGCATTCGAGGCACGCCAGACTTCTCTGACACAGTTCATAGACAACCCCTATCGGTCCAAGTGTCCATATGATCCAGATAGGGAATTACTATTGGGGGTTATTGAGGGGGATACTAGGAGTTTAGACCACAGCCCATATAGAACATTCTACTTGTGCCCCCAAAGTACCTACCAGGAAACCCCCGGGCTGGGAGCTGAGCATAAGCAGTTGGGCCGCCTGGAGCTTTTGGGATGAGACTTGCTGAGTGACCATGGTAGTACAGTTTACAATTTGGGATTTTGGCTTCTCACGTTGTAGGTTTCAGGTTGAGGGAAAGCCTGCGACTACCAGCACTTCTAGCAGCTTCCTCTGTCGCCTTGCTGTTCATTAAAAAACTAGAGCTGAAGATGTCCGCCCTCAACCAGTTGTTGTTGTTGTTGTTGTTGTTGTTGTTGTTGCTGGTGTTGTTGTTGTTGTTGTTGTTGTTGTTGTTGTTGTTGTTGTGGTTGTCGTTGTCGTTGTCGTTGTCGTTGTCGTTGTGGTTGTTGTTGTTGTTGTTGTTGTTGTTGCTGCTGGTGTTGCTGTTGCTGTTGCTGTTGCTGTTGCTGTTGCTGTTGCTGTTGCTGTTGCTGTTGCTGTTGCTGTTGTTGCTGCTGCTGCTGTTGTTGTATACAAGTTCGTGAGCCTAGGTGACACCCACCT